CTTTTACGCGTAATTGCAATTCAAAGGATGTAACTCAAACTCAAAGTTACGTAAGATTTCCATATAATAATATAATAAATTGAATAAAAATAATGATTTGAAAAATGATGGAGGGTGATTTTTGGCTAAATTTCCAACAAAAAAGTTCATTTGATGTATGGGTCGATTCCAAATGTAAAAGGAGTTAAGACCAATTTTGTGTGTTCTTTTTTAAGATGGTCACGGTTTTTATTGAATCAGAAGGAACTGCTCAAAACATGTTGAAGAAAATTAAATTCTAAGATAACCATCGTAAAGTAGGAAATTTCTTTTTGAGAATACAGTGATTAAATTTACTAAGAACAATGGTAAAAGGGGTTGTCGGGAGGTTACTTTAATGTGTTTACATTAAGTAATCTGTAAACACATTAAAGTAACCCGCTTACCCCATTGCAAAATATCGTTTCAGTTTAACATTTAAACAGTAAGATTCAGTTATACGTAAGCTTATACTCAATCTTGGTTTGTAGCACTCCCAAGAGATTAATATCCGAGGCATCTTGGAGATTATCGCAATCAATCAATTATAGAAATCTAGAGGATTATCTATTTCTAGTATTGGTTTGAATCCTTGCTATATCTCGAAAACCGTACACTTCAGTATTCGAGGAGTGGCCTAAGGCTAATATACTTTAATATTGTGAAAATATATTGTTGGTTCATCCCCAATCATATGGCTAAGTGCTCTCTGTCCATGCCTAAAAATTACTAGTTGTTAAACCCATTTCAGTGCTTTATCGTGCAGCTAAAAGCCTGGCTCGTTGATTAGACTTTTTGAAAAAAGAGGAAAAAAACTGAGCAGTTGATTCTCTAGCTGCTATTAAACCTCTAATTGGTTCGCCAGTTCGCAAAAGGGGAAAAAAAAACCTCTAAATAGTCTGTTGGGACAAAGCAGAGCAGTCCCTAGAACCGATTGGTGCAGGACACAATTCTGTGACCGCTCCTATTCTTAATATACTTCAATGACTTGGACAATTATTTGGAACAATGTCTATCTTCAGTTAAACTTCTTACATTTGTTGTATGTATAAGTTTCAAATGTTTATACTTTACTTACCCCTATAATCTCTTAATGGATTTTGTAAAACAGTAATTCATAAAGAATAATGAAAACTGTAAAATATAAAACCACATTTATGAAGATATATCTTATAATATAATACAACAGTTTTTTGCCGTAACGATCCCTTTTCTGGCTTTCAGGAGCGATGTATTTTGATGAATGGGGTATCAAACGAAAGGTTATTAAATGGAGCAGTGAAATATCATAGTAACACGAAATTTCAGGGGAAAAAGTTATGAATGAAAAGAAAATTTATTTGCAAATTATTTAAGAAATATACATTTTTTTCTTGATTAGACCCATTATTATTTGAAAATTTACTAAATTTCCTGCAAAACAAAAAGTCCAGGGTAATAGGACCATCATTTACAAAGATGCAGGCTATTGTAATTTATGTATTATTGCTTCTAATATTGTTTTCAAAGAAGTTTTATAAAATATTAATTATCATTTTTACACAACGATTTTCGAAAACTACTTTCATAATTTCTGTTATTTATTTATTAAAGGATAACTCTAATGATTTTTAAGATTAAGTTATTACCTCTTAAAGTCCTAAAATGTTCAGTTTCCCAGTTACCATCTGAGCCAAACCTTATACCTGGGATAGGAAATCTTGATGCCAATGTTGTCGTGGATTCCGATTCATATAAAAATTACTATTTTCAGCTCTCAATAATAACAAATTGAGTGCACCTTCAGTTGATAAGACTCCGCATACTAATAGATTTCATTAACATTTTTCAGTACTATTTTATCAATTGTTCACTGACCAATATTTTATGGGAATTATTATGGGCCAGCTAGTAATACATATTTAAGACCTTGAGATATGAGTTTCGTAAATCAAGGAGGCTGTGAGACTTGGGTACTTTCCAAAGAAAGTGAAAGAATGCTAAAAGTTTGGGAAAGGAAAGTAATCAAAAGAATATATGGACCTGTCTGCGAGAACGGCAACTGGAGAATAAGAAAGAATGAGGAACTGAAAGAAATGGTTCAAGAACCATATCTGGTTTCTTTTGTTAAAAGAATCAGTTGAGATGGCTGGGACATGTAGAGCGGTTACTGGATGGTAAGCCTGGAGGAGAAAGAGTTACAGGACGTCCACGATTATGATGGTCAGATGGAATGGAGTGAGTATTGGGAGAGATGGGAATCAGAGGATGGAGGAGACTCAGGCCCTTGTAGGGCAGTCGCGCCATGGAGTAAGTAAGTAAGTAAGTAAATCAAGAAATCCAAGTTGTAAAATGTAAGTAATCAGTTGCTTTCAAGCAGTTTTACTATAAAACTTATAGTATATTAAATGTATTTTTTTCTGAAATTGTTTATTATTGTTTTTATTTTATTAAATTAAGAACTTTCTATGAATTATTTTCGTATATTTTTATTGACACGTACTTACATTTAGTAGCTGTATATGTGTTATAATTAAATATGAGAACATATTTCTCAATTTCTTCACTACAGATCTGATTGGGAAGCTTTGTATTCGCACTAATTTTTAGGAAATTTGGGAAATAATGCACAAATAGTGAAGCATCAATTTCATGAAATTCCATTTAATAATTAAAATTAATATACCTAATTTTTAAGAATTTTGTTGGTTAAAGGATATATTTATTCTTTTATAATCTTGCTTTCAATTTTTAAAGTTATTCAAGATTATAACTGTACTATCAATTCATTGAAAATATGTAAATTGTATTCATATGCATCAAAAATTAATTATTTTTTTTAAGTTCTACATAAAAATTAAATTATTTCAAAAAACATAAAATTCTTCTTTAAAAACATATTAGTGCCTGCGGTCTATAATTATAAGTTGTTATAATTAGCTTTCTCGAAATACATCTTTGATCAAACAATCTATATTTAGAAATTCTGTAGAAATTATAATATGAAGCTGAAGAATTAAGAGCAATCATATTGACCTTTCATTTTATGATAGATGCTTTCTCCCACCAAATACTAATACAAAGAAAAATAAATATACAATTTTATTAATAGATCTGCTGATTAATGGTCTGACACCTGGTTATCAACAGTCATTAATGTTCTGGGTCTTATTAGTAACTTATATTAACCACAAAAACTCTTTGGAATTTGAATGCTTGCTAGTGTTTTCATTACCGTAAATACTTTCTTACATTAAAAAATTCTCTAAATATTTTAAAATGTTGTGTAAAAATGTTAATAAATTATTGCATCCATTATAGAATAGCCTCATAAAAATGAGGCTTGCTTTTATGAGCCTATTTTATAAGGGCTCTTAGGCTGCCTCTAATAGTTTAGAATGATTAGAAATAATGCCTCAATTGAAAAACATTTATTTCCTTACCCTCTGATTTTTTTAGAAATATATTACAAGAATATAATACGATCATAAATATTGCAAATATCAAATAAAAGCAGAGGGTAAGGGAAATAAACAGTATTAGTTTCAACATAATGCAGCATGAATTCATTCTCTAACTGCCATCTAATTCTTAGTGAGCCATAACAATCATTTCCATTTTAATCTCTCGACTTTTAAACCAGGGATATGAGACGAGAATATTCACTTATTGTTTATCAAGTTCTTTAAACAAAAAAGTTATCGGTTAAAAATCTTTTATTCTCACTCATTGTTGGAACTAACCTTACCTATATTAAAAAAATGTATGCATTTTTTATTATGGAAGTAAATCTTGAAAACTCACAATATTCTCATTAACTATAACTTTTATGATTGTTGATTGATGGTTGACTGTAGTGAATAATTGAAGAGAAGGGTGGTTGGGGTAATCAGTCAAAATAAAAAATAACAAAAATAAATAATAATATTTATTTTTACATTTGCCGACGTTCCGGCCCAAAGTTCAGGCCTTCATCAGGACAAAAGGGAGGAAATATGAAGGTCATTCCAAAATCCGGGCCGAAACACAAAGCAAATGTAAAAATAAATATTATCATTTATTTTTGCTATTTTTTATTTTGACTGATCACTCCAATCATCCTTCTCTTCAATTATAACTTTTATATTATAATGTAAACTTAAAATATTTAAGGACAAAGGATGTTACAATAATAAGCATCATTCATCACTATAACGTGAAAATATTGACGAATGTGTATGTCAATTCAAATATAAAGAGAAGAATAGGTACATTAAAGAAAAGTGGGAATATTATTGTTGAAATACAATGCTCTGGAAAGTGAAATTGTGGTGGAAAAGTATTGTCTTGTTGAAGTAATGAGAAACACATTCCAGATCCTTTGGATGTGTCAGTCTATTGTTTTACTAGCCGGAGAAGATACCTTGTTCATTGTCTAGCTATAACTGAAAGAAGTCATTCTACTGAATATTCCATCAGACTCTCTCCTTTTAAAACCTTGCTATTCCTGGGTAATTAGTACACCTAAACTCTATGAAGCCACTATTAACCTCATTTCTATTGCCATGCCACTACCTTGAATTGTCTGTTAATATGAAGAGTTAATAAGTAGATAGTTTTTCTGCTTAACTTGCACTCTTTATTGATATAATATATTTTCAAAATACTGGTGCTCTGCCGTGATACATATACAGTTTCTGATCTCATTTTTGAATAGTAAAAATGTATAGACTTGCAATTCTTGATACTTAAAGTTGGGCAACAATCTTTTAATTAAATATCATTTTTCATAAACTTTGACACGTAGAAATCATTTCGATACCAACTTCTATCTGTATATTGATGTGAAAATCAATATTGGTTAGTATAATATTGCTAAGGTTGGTGTTTTTATACTTATTAAATTGAAAAAATAACTTGCAGCAACTGTAACAGATATTTGTGTGTACATATTGGATATTTTTTTTATGTATTCATTATGATCATATGCTTATTTTATTCATCATTATATTTATTATTTTCAGTTACACCATCATTTGCAATAAGCAGAGTTCCTGGATTTGGATTTCCTTTGAGGGAAGGAATTCCTGTTTCTCTGAAATGTGATGTTGATTCCAACCCACCATCAACTCCTGTTTGGCAAAAGGGTATGAAAGCTATTTATTCTCATTTATTTGATTCTTCGGGGAAAAAATCTATTAAATTCTTTCATTTAATTTTTTTCTAGTTGGCAATTTTATGTTTTCAAAAAAATTCATTAATAATTTTATTGCTAGTTGGTTGCATTAAAAACATCTTACTAAATTAAATGTTTCTCAAGAATGATAAAAATGATTTGGCTAAATAAAACATTTCATATTATAATACACCAACTTATCAGGCTTTTCATGCTTACGAGCAAATCATCTGTATTTAATTAAGATATGTTTTTTTTTTAATAATTTAATAATAAAAATGTTGAAAATAATAGTCATATAATCTCTTGAATTTTAAATAAAATAATTACTTTTAAATTAACAAAACATATTTAATGAAATAAGTTAAAAAGGGAACTTTTATATGGGAATATCCTCTTAAACAATAGAATTATCTTAATGACATACAAGGAAGTCTTTTCTGTCAGCTACTGATAGCTAAAATAATATAACCATTTAGTACAAATCCAAATGTAAGTTTAAAAATTGTTTTTGCAGGACTACTTAATTTAATAGCTAATTAAATAATAATTATTATCTTTTCACCACTTGTTTATTTGCCTTATGGTCAATTCAATAATAATCAAATGTACCATAAGGAAAATAAATAAGTTAAGAAAAGATATTTAGAATACAAGTAAAAATTGAAAAATGGATAATAATTAATAGTTGATTAATTCAGTTAATTAAATATTGAATAAACCATGCAGAAATCAAATGTGGATACCCATATTGCTTGGAAGAATGCTCACCAAGACCCTAACAAGATGGACTAAAAGCCTTAATAAAGGTGCTAACTAAATTTTCAACCATTTACCTAATCATGTAATATAATTATTATTTGTCAAGAATTTTTTATATATACTATTAGTTGTAGAATTTTTGTTTTTTCTAATGGCATCACAGACCTTGTAGATCTTTTGCCACCTTAACAAGCCTGCTCCATATCTGCCTATCTTGGGCTATTTCTTTCCAGTTATCTGCATGCTGCTCTATGGCATCTTTGTTGATTCTATCTATCCATCAGTTTTTTGGCCTTACACGTAGTCTTTTGACTTCTATTGAGGCATTCATTGTTATGTAGAGGATTCCAGATGGATTGCTCCGAGCTACATGTCCTGTCCGTCTTAGCCTCTGTTCCTTCATATCATGAGATATTAATTGATTAGTTTCTGTAAGCAGCTCTTTATTGGTCTTTCTTCTCCATGTGCTAGTACTCTGATCCTAGATCAGTCCAGTTTATCGTGCAGAGGATTTTTCTCTCAAATATATCAATTCTTTTTTCTAGGGCGCTGGTTAGTGTCCAGGTCTCAGCCATATATTAGAACTGGCTTTATCATAGCATTGTACACTCTTAATTTGAGATTTTTTAGGATTTCAATACATTTTAAAGAGAGAAGAAAGATCTGTTTGTACTTTTTATACGTTTGTTTATTCCCAACCGTTGGACATTCATTGAGGTTATTGTGAAGCCAAGGTATTTAAATTTTTCTACTCTTGGAAATGATTTCCTTTCTAAGCAGATTCTGTTGTTGGGGTGGAATTTTCAGCTAATGATCAAATATTTTGTTTTCTCTCCATTTACTGCTTCCCTTATCAGAGCCTTAGCGAGTTTCTCAATTTCCTCTTGATTACTTACAAGGACAGCTATATCATCTGCATATCTAAGGATTTTATAATTCATTTTGATGTGGGCTCCTCTTTTTTCATGTAATTTTGTTCTTAACGCCTTCTCTAGCTCTAAGTTAAACAACATCATTGATAGTTCATCTCCCTGCCGTAAACCAACTCAAACTTTGAAGGTTTCGGATACTTCTCCTTTTATTAGGACTTGACAATTAGAGTCATTTACGTCATCAACATTTATGCCTTTGTCAATCTTACCAACTTACCGGGAACTCCCAGTCGGGTTATTATCATGTAGGCACCGGATGGAGTACTCTGGCTCTATAATTACTACTCTCATGCATGGAGCCTTTCTTTAGGATATGGCAAATAGCAGGCCCATATTCTAAGCCACTGGTTTCCTTTTCTCCTCCCATATTTTCTGAATTAGTTGTAGTAGCTTGGCTCTTAAGTTGTCTCCCCAATCTTTAAACAGTTCTGATAATAATAGTAGTATTACAAATATTTAAGTTTAATAAAATAACCTTATCTTGGATTAAGTTCTCAGAACTTCATATTTTTTCCATGGTTGGTCAATTAGAAAGAGAAAAACATTACTAATTTTATTGTGAAAAATTTGGTCATGGTATTTTTTTATTATTATTTAATAATATTATTACAATTGAAGTTTATTTTTATTTATTTCAGACGACGGAGTTCCTCCAGTTGAACAGTCAGGAGATGGCTTCTTGAATTTTACTTCTATCAAACGAGAACATAGTGGCTGGTACAAATGCACTACACGTCACTTGTTATCAACATATTCATCTATTGGATATTTTCTAAATGTTCGATGTAAGTAAAAGAGATAAATATTAGTATACTTAAACTCTTTGATATAGGAGCATCTTCATTTTTTAAATTTTGTATAAATAATCCTTCAGACTTCATAAGGAAATTTTTTTTAGGCGATCGTTTAAAGCATCAAGAATCCAAATTTCTAGGTTTTCACCTCACTACTTGTGTTGAGTTGGACAGTGATGGTTAATTTCCTTACTGAGGGTTTCTCTGCAAGTTAAATAGTTGTTCTGGAATTTTATTTGACCAAAAATTGAGAGAACTTCTTTATTTTTGAAAGAATTCATGACCATCTTTGTCTTCAAGGCTGAAATCATCCTCTGAAAATCTTTTAAAGTATCGTAGAATGGTGTACTAACACTGCCATTGTCCTAGACTTCACTAATGTTTCTGGCCATTTGGGCCCTTTTCTGAGTTTAAACTTGTTAAATGAAATTATGAGAAAATCGCACTTTGAAGTTAATAAAGACTGAATTATTTTCAACTAGTAAAATACAACACATGATAAAAACATTTTTGTTTGGAAGATGATTAATAAGTATTGACATCCATACAAATGAATAATCCCTCAAATGTAAATAGTTCTTTATATAGAGGCTTAATATAATGAAAACATAAAATCCTGCATTATTTTCCTGCCAGCCTAATAATATAAAGATTTTTTTTTTTCGTGTTTTGAGAAATTGAAAAGTAAAGCTCTACTGCACCTAACATATTCATCAGAATTATCATTTACCAATCACCTTTTAAGAACAGTATATAAATAAAGAATAGGTGATTTTTTTTTTAATTAGAATTATGGTGTATAATTTCATACAAATTTAATATTTTTAGTACAATTTTAATGATCAGGCTTGATGAAATAATGAAGTTTAATATCAGTACTACTAAATAGTATTGATTGGATACTTAATCTGATTATATTCTGTTTAAAACTAAATCAGTAGTATAGAATACATGTTATTTTTATTCAAATAATAAAGCTAATAAATAACTTTAAATGTAAAACAGATGGGGAGGAAGCAGATTTGGACCCTGGAGGGAGTACAGAAGCTGCAATGGAGGTGTCCGTCGGTGGGGCTGTGCAGTTGGACTGTGGGGGTGGAGGGGCCAGAGGATGCTGGGGTCGAGTCAGTCCCTCAGGCGACGTATCTCCCCTCGGCCCAGGGACTCCTCTGGCTATACACTCAGTCTTGTACCAACAAGCTGGTCACTACCGCTGCTATGCTCCTGAAGCTGATAGGCTCAATGCCTGGCGAACCCATAATGTCCACCTGAGGGTCACAGGTAATTTTAATAACTTAAAGCTTAAAACTATGACCACACCGGTTCAATATGCTATAACTAATAAAACTGATAAAAAATTATACCAATGCAAATCTCCTCAATATCAGTATATTACATTAATTAGTTTAATTAATTAGTTTTGTTTCTTTTTATTCAAACAACTGTTCTAAAGTAAATTGTTTAATACATAATTTTTATTAGAACCATTAAAAATATTTTCAAATAATTATAACTTATCAAGTAACATTTTTTATGCTTTCTGAAGAGACATTATTAAGATTAACGCTATCTTTACAGAGATGTTTTTTCAACCTTCGCTTTTCCATTATATCTCTTTTCTAATACTGCTTTGTTTGATAATTTATCAGAATCTAATTCAGAGGGATTCATGCTTAAATCCATTTATGCTTATTCATGAATGAATAATTCATGCTTAAAAAAAAGATTTTTTATCTCTTGAAGAATGTTGGATACTTCAGTAATGAATGAATTAAATTATTCACAACTAAAATCTAATATATGAAAAAATCAAGCTACTAATCATCCTAGGCATTCATTATTCTTAATATAAATATGATATTATTATGATTATAATATTAATATGATTTTATGATAATTATAATTATTATTATGATGGTGATATTAATATTATTTTATGCTTGTCTTGCCTAGCCATAAACACTTCCCAGTGTATTGATTGCTTCAGGATATCAGAAATATTATATATGATTTAAAATTATAAAGTTTTAATGAAAATAATTTTGCAGGAGTACCAATGGTGGTTGCTCATAACACAAGTGTAACGGTTTCGAGTGGCGAAGACGTTACAATTACAGCAGAATATTGCTGCAATCCAGGAGCCACTCGAATTTTATGGCTATTACCTACAGCAACTGTTATTGCCCCTGGCACTTCATTACGTTCCTTTAAAGCTAATAATATTACAGTAAGTACAACTTTCATTTCAATCATAAAAATAAGAGTATGTTATTATAGCAAAATATATTATGATTATACTAAATATTATTTATATTTACCTCTTTATTGTTATTGACTATTATTTTCTGTGTAATTATAACAACCACCAGCTCTAACATTACCATTGTGATCTAAAAGTATCCTAACATGGTCAGAATTTACAACCTTTGTACCCTTAGCATCTCAATACCATCAGACCTAATTGCATTAAGTTTTTCTTAAATATTACAAAATATATATCATTAAAAATATGTGCATTTATTTTAATTCTGCCTTTCAATCTCTACTAGATCCCTTTACACTCACTAATTTTGGAATTGAAACACCAACTGAAGGTATTGAAAGAGACAGGTTGTAGGGTATTGTTTTTATGGCTGCCTGGTCCTACCAGAATTGCTGTAATAACAAGTCAGATTCTCAGGTAAGAATAGCAATAAAAATTGGCAAAGTGCTCTCAACAACTGATTACAATTAATTAATATCTTGTATTGATGAAGAAATATGGCTAGAATTGCAAAATGAATGGTTCAACATGAGGGACAATAAACTATGAATGTCACAACAATACATTAAACGTCCCTTCTAAATCTGCACAGAGAGAAGATGTGGTTTTTACCCATCTTAGGATTGACCATGGTCGATTCACTCATAGACTATTAAAAAAAAAGAAAAACTGCTAATGTGCCCATACTGTAATTTATTAGGTGTAATTTATTAGTATTACATGTATTTAAAGAGTATAGAACTCACGAGCCTTACAGATTTCCCACAGATCCAGAGCATTTACTGAGAGATGACACTGAAATGATTGCTAATCTTATTTTGTTTTTAAAACCATAAACATTTTTAACAAAATATAGTGATCCACAAGAGACAAAGGTGTAAATGGCCCAAGTGATTGAAATAAATAAATATTAATTATTCACTTTTTTTCTTTTTTCATATGCTGAGTAACATTAGTTACTCCTGTACTGGACATAACAATAAAGTTATATGTCAGTTTATTTTACAATATTTAACTTCTTTAAACAAGATATTAAGTGTGAAATCAACATTTATGAATAATTGTTTTATTCATATAAATTACATTCATATACTAAAAACATAATATATTTTATGTCACTATCTAAATCATAATTTTATTTTTAAAATTTCTGATAGTTTTGAAAGTCGTAAAGTAGTCTAATTTTTGACTATTCATTAATGTTTCAGGATGGAAATTGGACCGATTGTTATAAAGCTTCCCTAAGTTTTAGAAATGCTGGACGAGAACATATTGGAGATTACAGCCTATTGGTATGGTCTGGTAGAGGAATTGGTCAGGCAACGATAACTGTCAATGTTACTGGAGCAGAAATGACCTCAAGAGGAAGTGCCATACAGATCAGTATTTGGTTGATTTGTACTCTCCTACTTTTTTCCTAACACTGGCACAGAAGTTACTTGTCACACCGAGAGTAGTTCTCACCCAACATAAGACTGTTCTGTAACCCGTAAACTACTTGTTTTGTGCAAATTGTATTTTAATGGTTATTTTTTAAATGATAAAATTTTAAATATATAAATAGTTTGGAAAACACTATCATTTTCAGTTGTTATAGTTGATCATCTAAATTGATGTACCAGCATATAAATAAAAATTATTACTTATCTATATGAACTGAGGATAAATAAATGAATCCTATTAAAATCCAAAAAGTAAAAACATTGATGATTCACAAATGATTCATTAAAACAGATTTTATTACATTTTTATTTGAAACTTCTAATTTAGATTTGTTTGATAGATAGAATCAGGAACATCTTTTTCGAAAAGGCTCCTCAGGAAAAATGAATAGCTTCATGAATTAGGAAGTATCACTGGATACCGTTGGAAATAATATATTGTATTGGTTTTTGTACATCACTAATCAGATCAGAATAAAATATTTAAAAAATAATTTATTTTAATAGCGCAGGCCTTAATTGATAACTGTGCATGTTCCAATGTAACATCAAAATATACTTTTCAGGAGGGCAACCTCAAAGCCCTTTATTATTTTTTCTGGTTTCCATTCATTTAATAGGTAATAATAGAAATGGTTAAAGTATCAAATGATTTGAAATTTAATGTAGATTCATTTTAAGCTGTTTTTTACTAATATAAAATGCAATTCCTTTTAGTCAAGAAGACAAACTTTGGATACAATTACTACTTGGCCAAACATCAGTGAATGAAAGATAGAAATTATATATATGTTATATTTTTTCTAATAATTTTATTTTACTTTCATCACAAGTACTCTTTCCTTCATTCCTGAAGCTATTCTGTTAAACATAGATTTTCTTCTTTATTATAACCCACCGTCGGTTGAAATTTGTATAACCAAATGACCAATGAAGCACTTTGCAAGTATTATGGAAAGTGACCAACTTTGCCTATTTTTGCCTTTCAGTGTATACATATAGAGGACCTTCCATTTAAAACAAACAAAGCTTTTAACTATTTAAAAATACATATATTAAAATTTTCTAAGTTTCTATTTATAAATTGGTTGTGAATTATTGTGGAATCATCATAGCGTATTTGCCAATTTTTTTTTTAAATTAACTCCGCTGGACTACAACACCATTTTTAGGCCCAAGGACACAAAAATTATTAAGAAAAACTTCTGAAATAGCTAATTTATTAATTTTTTTTAATTATGGAAATTAGATCATTTCCAAAACTAGAAGAGTTGAGCAGAAATACCGTAGTTTCATTTCATTTCATAGTCTCTGAAACATGTATGTTCTCATCTATATTTATTTATTATTTCTGTTTTTAAAAATAACTTGAATTGAATATACCCATCATGGCACTATAACACCAATTGATAACCAGGTGATAAACATTACATCTTGGTCTTAATGATAAAGAAATTCTACGAATTGGAAAGTATAAATCAGGGGTTCCTTTGCACAGTCATAATGATTGTATTATTCTAGAATTCACTATACTACTTATTATGGTACGTCAAACTATAGTGTAATCTATTTAATATTTTTTAAAACATATATTATATAAACATTAATTTTAAATATGAAAAATTTAGAATATGACAAGAATGTAAATATACTAATATATGTCCAGAGATTTTTCTGCCACGATGTTATCCCCAAACACATAAATGAAAAAAGGCTGGGGAAAATCATTCGAGCTTTGAACCAGTTGCAACTCTGAAAAATTTCAAAAACCGAGGCCTAATAATTGCTATGGCTGCCGAGTAATAATCAAAAATATCCCTTTATTATCTTCCAATTAGCTTTTATTGAGAATAAATGTATAATAAACAAAATGAAGTGTAACTAGTCAAAAACAGCATTTATATTTATTTATAAATGTGGTATTAGTTGTTACTTAGAAAAAAATATATATAATGGGCATGATATATATTATATATGTGTATAGTCGAAGATGTTTGTAAATATACATATGCAGAAAAAAATTAAAATTTATATATCTAGAAATATATATATAAATTCAACTATACATTAAAATACACATTGTTGTTAATTAGTAAGTATTTGTCTGAATATTGACTTTATTTATTACTAATTGTTATGTTTGGTGCCAAATGTAGCACATGTTTTATTGAATACTTATTTTAAATGAATTTAAACTTTTCCCTATCAGTAGTACAGGTGATGATGCTTGGGTTTTTTGATTAACATCAGCACTAATGTTCCTTTATTGTTTATGAAAAAAAGTATAAAATGACAACGAACATCAAACCTTGCTACACCTTGGTACGAAAAACAGTAAGATTGTAACCATAAGTAAAAGTTATTTTGACAGCTTTGATTGTTTAATTTATTTATTTTATTAATTTGATAATATAAACTGCTGAACAAAGTTTCTAACTGTTTTAAAAAAATATATAATAATAAACTGTTCCTAATATTAATTAACAAATCAATGAACACTTTTCATGTTACATTAGGTAATTTTCTATCACAAAATTTTAATAGGTATAACCTTTATTTATTATAAAAAAATAGTTCTGAAACTGACTAAAGGTTTTTATGAAGTAAATAACTTTTCCAGTTAAATTGTATTTTACCATAATTTTGTTCAGCAATTTGATTTCTTCGATATATATAATCTTTTTAATTGTTGGATAGAAGCATGCATGTGTATATTTCATTTTCATAAATGAATATAAAAAGGAAAATAAAATTAACATATATTTTTTTATGTATCAGTTTGTCTATTACGGCTCTAAGTAGGAAGATCATTTCTAGTTTACAAATCAAATTCATTCTTAAGCTCACTGTGAAAAAAAAAAATTATAAAAATGAAAAAAAATGAAATGCATTTGTCTAAATTAGATAAGAAAAACTATATAAATGACTGATTGCATTCAATTTATATCAACTTATCAGTAGGAATAACTATATTTTCATATAAATATGAAGACAAATGTATAAATTATCGAGAGAGTATTATAACCAGTGATTGCCAAATTGGAATAGTTATTTGAGTATCAAAATTAATTTTTATTTGAATATTTTTTAGAAATTAAACACAGGAAGTTTCATGGGAAAATTCCATATGTATATTTTTTAATTGGAAATACTGAATGTATTTTACCTTTGAAAATTGTTGTGTGTCTGTATAATTTGTGTGAATATATAACGTCCACTTTAAATAGCTGGAATAAAATGTAAGATATTTATTGTTTTATAAATATATATTATTTTTGACAAAAGTAATTTTATGTATGCATATTTTATTGGACAGATCAAATGTATCAAAAACAGATTGTCTGTTATACGTAAACTGAACACCACCATGCTTCTTATCTCTTGTCTCAATACAAGAGGAAATTAAATAATTATATTTGGCATGTATAATAGCTGTTTTATTTATTGTTCATTCTTATTTATTTACTTATTGTTTAAGAATTTTAGATCTTTAGAAAACACCTCAGAATTTGCTCAATGGAGATTTTTTCTGTATTTATTTTTTAAAATTTTCCCATTCTAGTTGTCTTAATCATTCTATAAATGACATATTAATTAAAGTTATTTGTTAATCCTTTTGGTTAAACTTTAAGACTAAAGATCTCACATTTTTTTTAATGTTTTATATGTCCTATTATTTATTTGTACTCTGTTAGATAAAATCAACCAAGCATATGCATTTAGCCTTCTAAATTAAGACAATATAAGATGGGATGATTGTAATTTTTATTTAATTTAGAAAGAAAATTTTTGTAAGTTTTTTACAAATATTTGCTTATAATGTACATAAAAGTGTAGGTGGTGATATTGCCACGTGCAAATATAGACAACTGTCAATTCAAAATATTTAGATAAAAAAACTTTTACACATGTTTTAAAAGCGTATTGATTGTTACATTAGTGCTAAAAAAAAAAAATTAAAAAAATGCAAACATATTCAATGTTAAAATGCTGTCATACGTCCATTATTATGAATAAAATGTGTTGTTAATACGAAATGCTTCAATAATTATGTGTGTTTCCTTGAATGAATTAAGATTGTCTTTTTAGGATTGTTTAATCAACAAATTTATTATCCTGTTAATTGTAGAAAATTTAATTAATCGGTACCTGAGTTTGACAAGGTGTAACTGGACTAACCTTAATTTAAAAAAAAATTATTTTGACAACTGATTTGCAAAAATATTTTTTGTTATTTATAAAACTTATCAATTTTTCTCTCATTAATTTAGGTTTTTATAATTGAACTTCAGAAATTGATTCTATGAAAAATACCATATTTCTAATTTTATACAAAATACGTTGAAATTCAAATATAGAGAACCTTGTCAATGAAGGAATGAGGTAAAATGAAAATGACGGAGGTTTATCTGGTATCACAATCTTTTTAAACAAAAAAAATTAAATCATTATACTTTCTTAACACTTAGATAAGGAAATTTCTAATCGAGTCACATTTGATATGCAATTTTCAGAGTTCTGTGTAAATAAACAAATCAAATAAATAAATAATTCAAAGGATCATTATAGCCCAGAAACCTTGTATTCATAAGTTACATTGAATGGTGTAAATGGTTTCTTTTTATTTTCTTGAATGGGATATGATTGAGATGCAAAATCCAAGTTTTCGACTTCGGCATCCCCCCGGATCACTTTTGAATATCCCAAAAAATGCTATATTTTCGGTTTTTCCCATTTTATTCATAAAGGAGCATGTTTTCGACAAAAATCATTCTATACAATTTTAAACTAGACTAAATTTTCAACAATTTAACACTGGAACAGGCTAAGTAAATCAAATAGTTTACAAGATACAGATTTTCAAATTTTAGAAAATTTTGTTTTCCATTTAAATTATTTTTCATGTTTGATCATATGCAATTTGTCTTTTATTTATAATAACCTGTCTGATATGAGTAAGTGAAGTAAACATTTATTCATTTTAGTATTTTTAAGGAGGGGTGATGGAGGGGAGGAGGGAGGAAGATTTGGTGGAAGAGGGTATTCCCTCTCCCTTTCCATGCATATATTAGGAAAAAAAGGCAAGATCCCACAGAAAAAAGTGTCCACAATGTCCCAAAATGGCTTGCAAACTTGGCTGAGTGACAACTTTCATTTGATTCACATTTTCGGTCACTCAGATTCAGCATTT